GGGAAAGGAAAGGAATTGGCAAGAATACCAGAGGAGCAAAACACCAGCTACTGGTAGACAGAACAGTCACCCAAGGCTGCAACACCAGACTGACCAATCTGTGCACTGCTTGGATTAATTACAAGAAGGCCTATGACTCAATGGCCCACAGCTGGATCCTGGAATGCCTAGAACTGTACAAGATCAACAGGACCCTAAGAGCCTTCATCAGGAACTCAATGGGGATGTGGCGTACAACATTAGAGGCCAACTTCAAGCCCGTAGCACAAGTCAGCATCAAGTCCGGGATCTACCAAGGAGATGCTCAGCCCCCTCTGCTGTTCTGCATAGGCCTGAACCCCTATGAGATCATTAACAAGACTGGCTACGGATACTGACTATGGAATGATGCAATCGTAGGCCACCTCCTCTACATGGATGACATCAAGCTGTATGCCAGAAGTGAACGAGACATCGATTCAGTGAAGGTAACAGTCGTCCCAGTGGTAATCGGAGCGCTAGGTGAGCGACTCCCAAGCTAGGCAAGTGGCTCTACCAGATCTCGAGAACAACAGCCGAGATCTCTGTCCAGAAGAGCGCAGTCGTAGGAACAGCAAAGACACTGCGCAGGACCCTCAAGCTCCCAGGCCTCTGGCAGAGGACCCGAGCTTAAAGGATAGACCGCCTGCAGGAGCGAGAGGGGATTTTTCTTTTAAATATAATGTATCAAGTTCAAGCTTGGCAATGTTGGCTTGTTAAATGACCATGTACAAAAGACTCTCTTGCCTTGGTTACTGGTTGAATTCATATTATCCTCGCATTTGCTAAGCTGAATAGCTTTCTTCCATCTGCTTAACGTCATTTCCCTGCTTACTTTCTCCTACATGTCCACTGGATTATCTAACTAAGACCAAAATGTAAAAAAAACATTTTCTTCTTACATTTTGGTTGAAAAAATTGTATTTGTGGAAAAAACAATAAAAACAGCTTCACTAATGTCTGCAAACACAAAAACTGCAAAAGCATTTTTGTATAGTTTATGAGCAAGTGTCTGGAAGACTCCATATGTCTGCATGTGGGTGGCAGGAATTCAATGTCTGAGGTACAGGATGATGCATTCATTATCTCGTAGTAAAACTTTTACAACAATACATTGTTTTTACCCAAGTAAGAAGACATTATCGGCTTGGAATGTGTGCCATTTAAAGACGAAAGAAACAGCAGGGTCTAGGCAATGCATAGTTACATATATTACTTGTGTTATAATAAAAGAATAACTAAATTATACTTCCTTTTGAAAATGGTGAGTAAATTGACGACACTTTTATTAATGTCCCTAATTTTATAACTTTGAATACACATGCATATACAGAAAAAAACCTTAAATTATATGAATGTGAGTGTCAGTGTCAGTTAGAGCGCTTAGGTAGAGACTATGTGATAAAAGACTAAGAAGAAACACTTCCATGTTTACAAAGTAACAGACGTGAGTTGAAAGAGGACTGGTTTTATGTAAGTGAGGTTTTTGAAAGGTATTTACCACCTCCACTCTGCAGGGTAAGCTCCTTGCTTATTCATGAGCTTGTAAACTATAAATAAATCCCTTTAGTCCCCAAACGGTGGGTGAATATGGATGAGCACCTTTCATTCCAAAAAATGAAGAAAACTAAAGAAGTCTCTCAGAGTAACAGACAGGTGAAAGTCAAGAGTGCTGTGATGTGATGAGACAATTTGCTATAAATTCTGTTTAATGCCAGCACAGCCGCACAGCACTAAACCTTCTAATAACAGGCAATAAACAGTTTTATCTCTTAGAATTCACTTGAAGATATTATACGGCGTATTCCATCTGATGTGGTATTAAAAATATATGTCAATATTTGGTCTGGTCAGAACATCATGGAGTATTACACCATGTCTAGAGTTATGCCACAAGCTTGTCTGCTGGACGTGCAGCGTGCTAAGAGTGGAGCCTACATGTTGGACCCCCAAAGAAAAATTAAAGATTGATCTGCCACATTTGCCCTCCTGCGCGAGCTGATGTTGAGCATTTGATGCTACATAAAAAGGCATATTTCTTAAAGCTAATTGTCCCATAATTTCTTTATGATTCCTGTGGCAGTTTTGTTAAACTGTGACAAATCTTCGACGCCTCTTCTGCCTGTCGCACTTTACAGGTGTCTTCTAGTGGCAAAAATGTTCTCTGAGAGTGTTTTCAACCAAGGCCAATGCCTTATTTCACAATTTTAGCGAAAATGATCCAGATACTCAGAAAGTTTTCATGGGATGAAATCACCTCAATCGGGGGTGGATGTCGCTCAGGAGGTAGAGCAAATCACTTGCTTATCGTGACGTTGGCGGGTCGATCAAATATCCCTGGGAAACATACTATTCCCAAGTTGAATGTTTGCAAATGTGAGATGCACTTACATAGAAAAAGTGCTCGTATGAATGGGAGAATGAGGCAAGTTGTATAAAGAGCTTTGAGTTTGCATTTGCATCAACAGTTATTAACTTTAGCCTGGCA